AAAAAAACAAAAAAACAAAACTGGGATTATTATCAGTACTTAAATATAGTGTTACATATTTACAGGTATTTGGAGTTTGGTACCAGGGGTTTGTCGTCTACCTATATATAGCATTTAAAATGTCCCGTCTAGTCACTGACTCAGTCCGCCAAGAGGTCAATGCGTTTCCCCACATTCGAAGGTTTGCATAGAAAGTAAAGGGAGCATTGGTTAGGGAGGAATCTGGAAGATAAATTGTTCTCTTGTACTCCTAAGTGAGGTGTGGTTTCTCTCTCTCTCTTTTTTTTTTTTCCTTTTTTAAACTCGGAGTGACAGGAGGTGGGAAAACATGCATATCTGATAATAACAGCATTTGAATGTTGTACCAAATTTGCTATTAAAAAAAAAAAACTGAGGTGGATTACACTTTTCAGTTAGGGAGCATTTGGGTTATTGCAGCCAGATGTCCAAACTAAGCTGTTCTTGTAGCGACTTTTACTCTAGAAGCGTTAAGTTCAATTTTGAATATTCTGTTGGGTAAGACTGCCAAACAGTCCATGTAGATACTGTTTCCCAAAGGGTTTTAAATTTGGACATTTGGGTGAGGAGTGCAGGATAGTGTCTTTCTTGCCAAGAGTTAGACCAGAAGATTATCATCATTCACATCTGTTTACTAAATATGAAGCTTCATTCATGTAGTTACGACTGAAACGGAGGCAAACATAATCCATCTCCTGAGGTTACCAATTTACAGGTCATACCATGTTTGTGCAGTGGACTACAGATGTCGACATGCTGCCCTCGTCAACCGATATTGGCCTACCAGGAACTCCAAGTGGACAATATTTCTGGTCATTAATTTTGGCTATAGCCCTGTCCACATATAAAGTGATTTTCGCTTGCCACCTCTCGCTTTGCAGCGGACAGCTGCTAGCAGACTTTTCAGACACCGGTTGCATAGGAAACCTTATTTCCTGCCCTATCTTTTGTCAGTCAGCAGTATCCTTTACCATCCCATTGGTAGTTGTTTCAAATTGCTGCTTCTAGCCATTTCGCACCGCTAACTGTTATTCCATCTGTCATCACTACAAGACTCCGAATTTCACTGACATTCCATAATCTCTGGTCTCCACGCCGCTTTTTTTCTTCTTCTTGTGAGTATTAAAAACAAAACAAAAAAAAACCCCAATGTGATGAAGAAGCTTTTTAACAGTCTTATTTAGGGTGAAGATTTCTTTGTTTCCCTGGACAAAGACGGAAATAAATAACAACAAAAACACATTAAAATGTGGAAAAATATCATGCTGGCGTTGGCCAATTTATTTTTAAACATCCGTGCATCCATATGTAATTCCTTTTTTTTTTTTTTTCATTTTTTTTTTTTTTTTTTTTTTTTTTTTTTAATTTAAAGGGAAAAGGGATTAATGCAATTTAGAGATATCGGTTAGCTGCTTCCACCTGCTTTCAGTCTTCATATTAACAGAACAAGCGTCACTCTTCTCAATCTAACTTGGCAAGAAAGCCGATGAGTGCATTTCA